ACTAACTATAAAATACTGCTGCCAAATAAGACAAAGGCCTAAGCAATGCACAACTGTAAAGAAGACCCACTACTGAAGCCACAAGAGCTGCAAGCACAATTAGAGGATGAGGTATTTCCTAGCTCTGTAATCGAGGCTAATCCGATTAGTATTGATGAGAAGTTAATCATCAGTGGTTCAATAGACCATCAGAGCTGTCTCTTACCTCTACATCTGACACTTTCTCATCCCTCGTCTGGCTTATCCTAAGTAGCCAGATAAGTCCTCTCAGCAATTTCCTTTTCATTTTTAAAGTCGGAGTGGCATAAAACATATGACCAGACTATACTGACTCTTGGTAAAGTCAATTCACCAGAATCATTAGTAGCATATGGATACAGCTAGTTAATGTGCACTACACCTCTTAACTGCTTTAACTCAAACAGAAATGAAACGACTTCTTATAGCACACGATGAGGTCTGGTCAAATCAGAGCCAAGATACATCTGTGTTGCTGGCATGTACCAAAGCCATGCCCAGTCTGCAATCTGATACATTCATTCCTTCACTGCAGTACCAAGCACCTTTCTGTCATATAATGGCTTTTCCTAGCTGTTGGCGCACAAAATTATATACGTCAAACAATGCAGACATTAACTTTCAATATATTCTTGTAAACATTGCGGAACATCCATTTTAGGTAGAGGACCACAAATCGTGTCTACAGGAAGCAATTCTTCTTTACTGAACGTAGGAATTTCTGGCAAACAACCAATTGATCTCTGTTCATCATGTCATTGGTTACATTTTCATCCCAGTCAATTTGTTCAGGGTTAATCTAAGCAACAAATGCTTGACATTCTGCATCACTCTTTTCACTAAATCATCATACTAGGGATGAAAAGATAAAGTGTGTGCCTTCTATGCATCCAACACTCTAAATAACTCAAGTAACAATTGGTTGTTAAAGTTAACTCTCTGAGCTAGCAATTCACTGAGTTCACGTCTCTATGTTGAGCTCAAATCGTTTGAACAATCCTCAACTAGTCGTCAGATGCTCTAAAAGTTACACGTTCATTTTAGGATGTGATATAATGACTATAAAACCAGCTACTGAGTTAGTTTGTGTCACTTCTGCCTTTGTTCAAACCAGCTGGAAGTTGAATAGCCGAGTGTACATAATTAAAGACTGGTACTGGTACAACGCTCATGCTTGGACATATCACTGCTCCAGCAAATGCTGACTGCTTTCCAGCCACTGCTGCACTCGCACAAGTTTGTGGCCAGACCCAACTCATGCTCTACTAGTTTAAACCTGTAGGTGCTATAGTGGCCATTGCTCGTTGTTAACCTTCTTACACATGTTGTCCCATTGGTATAAAAGGTGTATACATGATATGCTTCTGTTTAATGATGGGATAAGGACAATTGCAAAACCAAGGACCTGTTAAGCCACGTATAAAGGAGGAACTCCTTCCCTCGTGCTCCTGGTGCTTGGACAGTCCAACTCTGCCAACTGGACCAAGGAGACACTGTTCTCCCATGGAGAATCATGGCAGCTATACTACAACACCTTACAACATTTAGTACAAATGTTTTGGTGGTCAGTAATTCATTTGAACCTTTAAGTTGGGAGCCATCATGGAAGCTGGAGAGTGTCTTAGAGCTGCATCCACTGCTGTAGGTAACCACTGTTGCTGATTTCTTCTTCTGTAGTGTGTGGTTCAATGTGACCACTTCAAACTGCATTTCCACATAAAATGCTCCTTGAAAGGCAAGATGTCTCCCATACCTATGTATTACCACATTTGGTTGCTTGGTAACTCATTGATAAGTTAATCTGTTGGAGACATGCTCAGAAATGTCTTCCTATGCAGTTGCTTAAAATCATCCACATAAGTGACTAAGTCACAAATCTAAAATGGACAGTAAAATATAGAATCAAACGCAAGTCAACAAATATATGAAATTTCTATTCACGATAGTTGTTTATTTTGCCTACTAGAACTTTTCAATAGCTCTATCCGACTGTTGGGGTTGAGAGGAGTCTTTAAGATGTCCACATAAGACAAAGGAAATTTTGATGTACCATTGAAATCCAGAACAAAGTTTTAAAATGGTTGTATACTACTATCCATAGAACATTTATAAGAGAGAAAACCACATAAATCATATCATTTTGTACATATATTTAATACATCCTTTGATATGGGTTCACTCTTTCTTAGAGTTCATATTCATGGCTAAAGTGATCCGAATTTCTAGTAATTTACGTGTGCAACGTTACCTGAGTCCATGTTTACTACCATTCAAAATCTGTTTAACAAGAATACCATACTACACGCAGAACCCATACCCAAAAGTTTAGAAAAAATTACCTAAATATATTTGACTATTTATGGACAGTTGAAATTCGTGACTGTTTCAGCCATTACACGGGTTTCCGCAGGTAGTTAGTGGCATCCTTTTAAATAGAATGTACAAAGGTCGTAAACTTGGGCTAATTATTTTACATACCACAACGACTGTTCCGTAATGCATATACTTTCTTATCCAATGTCTTTGTGTCATGCCTTACTGAAGTGACGTCATATTCATTTCAAAAGGATCCAAGTGTGGCCTAGTGTTTAGCGTGCCGGACTGTAGATCTAATGTTCCATGGTTCGCGTCTCGTTGCATTATGATAATGAATATCAAACCACACTCTTCCATTAGAGTAACCAAAGAGTAGGTGGTAGATGCTATTGAATAGCTGCCTTCCTTCTGGTCAGTCAGTTCAAAATTTGCCATGACTGACGCAGATATCCCTTTGTAGTTTTGCGTTTGTCTCCCGCTGGGACATCGGTAAGTCTATGGATTTACAACGCTACAATCAGGGGTTCCATTCCCCTCAGTGGACACAGCAGATAGCTCAATGTGGCTTTGCTATAAGAAAAACACACACACACAGCTTTGCGTTCAAATCTGAAACAAACAAACAAGCTCACCCTTCGATATGTATAACGGGAATGAACGTTGATGAAGGTTATGAAGGAGTGAATAATGCCCCACAAGGACTTTGGTCTAACCAAACAGCGTTGTACCATAATTTTCTCATTGTTACCTTTGTTTAGCGTAGAAGTGCTTTTCTCCAACTCCAATACCTAAAGAGTCCAACACCGAACATAGAAGCCTGTAAATATTAAATAAAACCTAAATTTAGCAGTATGAATAAAGATTTTTTTATTATGTGTACACTTGTATTTTCTTGTTTTTTCATTGCTGCCTGTGCTTATATTATTCTCTTCACACAATTTGTTGAACATGCTATGCTGTAAATAATAGAGCTACATCAATGCATCTGAATACCAATATAAAAGTCCAACAGTTTAATTATTTATGTACATTTTAAAAGCGATCCCGGCACAGGTGGAAATTTAAATATTACAACATACTTGAAGTGTTCGCAATCAAAAGTTTAAAAATAAAATAAAACATTTTTCAGAAATTCGTAATTACTTAAAAATAATTTTTTGAAACCTAGCAACACAGTTCTGCCAACCTCTCATTTCAGAATTAACGAATCAACGACCGATAAATAGATGATATCACAACTGTGCTGCGCCATAAATTGTCACTGAAATGTGACCAATTAGTTTTTAATATTGAAAATTACAACATCTTGAAGTGAAATAAAGAGGCAAACACCACAACCCAGATGATTCCTGAAATAACCAGTATCACTAGTGCAATTGTCTTGTAGTTATCCCAAGGCTCCATTTTTACTTGTAGTCTCCTTTCCGTAGAGTTTCCTATTTCACACGAGCACTCCTTAAAGTCTTCAAGACAAGTGCTTGTATTCTTAATCTTCTTCATGTGAGTCATCTTTAGAAGCTGTGAAGATGGAGATGATGATATCTGGTGTTCATTGTCGGAAAAGTTAATCTGAAGCATGAAACAAAAATAACGTTAATGTTTTTTTGTTGTTGTTTTTTCAAATAAAGTGGTATTTCTTGTTTAAAACTGTAAAAGCATTTTTTCAAAACTAAAACTGACTGCATAATTTTTATTGCACATGATTAAATAGCCTATACGTGAATT